TGTTCTTCTTTACCCGCCTCCATTACTGATGTTGGACGACCACAGGTAGCACTAACCTTACTTCCAGCACAATAAACAAATGACTAGTGTGCCAGGGCACGTTGTCACTGTGCTTTCACGAGTCCTCACCAGATGTTCGTACTCTAAGCAAATTCCAGTGTTACCAACTTGGGCGCCGTGTGAGTTATGTGTGGTGACCAATTTTCATTTGACTGCCCCTTATATATATATACATCAACACAACAAATAAGTAATTAACTCATCACCACATTGGTGCCAATTAAGTTTATTAACTATGCTAAAATTACGTGGCATATTTCGGTTCACTTGGAGCCATCATCAGGCGATATAAAATGCTGAATTGTAATTGTAAAGAATTATTTATAAAATAATTAATTTAATTTATATCGTTATTTGCACAGGTCAACTCAGTTTTATATTTTTGTTGTATTAAAATAGTATCAATCTTTGTAAAATGTGTGCATGCAATCATGCTAGACACAATTTTTAAGTACGATTTTCTATTGCATGTTAATCTCATTTTGTATTATCAAAACAGTGCGCTACCGTATATATCAATACTAAATAACCTGTGTTGAATTATTCTTAGGTAATGTCTTGTTGTCTCTGATTCTGTTATGCTGTTTTCTTGCCTTCACTGCCTTGTTTTATACACTATATCTCGTTTATCCATGAATTATATACTTGATGGATTGATTCATTTATAAGTTTTCTACTATACTGTTGTCTGCAGCACTGTTTCTTGTTCCATTGTTTATAGCCTGAAGCCACTATCATGGTAAGCAAATATTATGTATTGTGCTTTATTCTGAAACTATACAGCATCACTCCGTCGGTATAGTTCCCTTGTGGATTAAAACCACGGAGTTCGTTTGTTTGTTTTTTTTATTAATAATTTAATTATTAGAAGTATAAAACTGTTGTGATTGACAGGCATATTTACATAGTTATTACTTATTATTTGTCATGACAAAAATATCTCCATCCTTACATCAAAACTTACTGTATGAATTTGTAATTTTGAGACATACACACGTAAAAGCAGGAAATATGTACAGTCTGGACACAATTACCGTCAGAAATACTTAGAATTTTTTGTCACATGAAACCAGTAGTTCAAGACTGTGTCCTGCAGAACACATGTAGACTTAACAAATTTCAGTCACTGGATGAAGATAGGTTTCCTGTAACCAATTTACTAATAACTGGCAAATTTTCCAGTTTTCCAAATATGTAAATTAATCTAGTGAGAGCCTCTTAAGAACATACAACACAAGCATTTACAATCACCTTTGGATTTCATACAACCCACATACTTCACTGTTTCTGATTAATATGTTTGAAATATTTACATATGTGGATTTACAACTTTTCCTGCAAAAACAATCACTTTCAATGAATTTTCTACTATGAAAAATGCAAATGGTCGGTTAGCATGAATTTTTGGCATTGTCTGTCGATCTGACATAATCCCACCTGAAACAAAATAGTTTAGTTATTACAGGGTCAGTAACCTACACACAATGCTTATTGGTAAATGGACTATTTGTGTTGTGAGTTTTCTGTGTACTTCTCCAGGAGAAACCTGAAAAAAACTGATATGAGGAAAAGTAATTTTGACTAAATAAAATTTCTGATATTCAAGAAACTGGAGCACAGATAAAAATAGTATGAACCAGAACAAGGTGCAAGATTACTGTAATAAAATTATTCAAATTACTTAAATTAACAATCAGTTAATCATCATTTAAAAATGTGCCCTGGCACAGCAACTGACAAGATTTGGAAAGCTAACCCTTTGCCCAGTAGGTACAGTATTTATCATCCTGGCACGTGGTATGAGTGCTCAGTTAAAATTTAAAGTTAGCAATTAAACTTTCTGCAGATAAATCTTAACCTGATGTAGCAATGTTCAGCAATGTTTACACTAGATCACAGGACCAATACTTTTTAAAGAAGCGACAATAATCAGTAATACAAATGCTGACTACCTACAAAACAGTCTAGAAGTCTTACATTGTGGTCACTTTCCAATATAATCAGCTTATTCCTATCTAGACTGACCTGTGATACTGCTGGCTGTCGTTCCTTCCTCATTAATCACAATTTCAGCCTTGTGAATCAGTTTGTGCAGATGTATACTGTGTGGTGATATCCTAGACAGATCTGCTTTTGCATCATTGAACACATCAATGATCCCCAACTGTTAAAGAATACAGTAATCACTAAAAAATCTAAATGTAACAGAAGTGAAATTATAATTACTTGTACTACCTTCTGGAATGTATGTGTACTTCTCTCATTCATCTTTATTAGACCTCCTTTTGTAGAGATGGGAAGTGAAAATATCACATTCTGCACACAGCATATACCTTTGTTCTGTGACCACATGTACTAGCTACAGGTTAGAGGTATAATTTGGAGCCATAACAGTAACACACCAAGGAAATGAAAGGATAGGTGTAAGAGAAATGTTTTAATAAGAAGGAGACGAAGATCAAGGGGACAGATGAAGAGCAGTAGGATGGACAAATGTAGAGGATTATAAAGCAACAAGGAAGAAAGGAGGGAAAAAGATACAACATATAAAAGGCATAGGGAAAAGAGGGAAGAAACACTAACAGTAATATAAAAGAACGGAAATTCAAAGAATCATTATGAAAATTTTAACTGTCATTGTGATGTGGCATCCAATATTTTTCTGGGCCTGTTCTATGGTATTTCTTCAGTGTCAGTCTTTTCTGCACAGCACTGTCAAATTCCCTTAAGGGCTCAAGCACAGAATTTAGTTGTCACTAATTTTCATAGCATCAGATGTATTCACACTCAACTTAATTACAGTACATTTTTTTTTGTTCCTTGGCACTACAGCCCCAGTGGGCCTAGGCCTACCTCCATGAACTTCTCTGTTCACTTCAGTTTTTCTAGATCTTACACATTCAGTAGGACTCCTTGGGCTGGTGATCAGCTCGTCGCAAGGCCTCTACTTGTACACAAACACAGAAAAACGCATATACACAAACTAAACATCCATGCCCTGAGTGGGATTCGAACCCACAATCGCGGTTTCCAAGCGAGCGAAGACAGTACATGCCTTAGACCGCTCAGCTACCATGACTGGCAATTACAGTATATACAAAGAGTATATTTTAAAGGTACAGTAACATAATCAAAACTACGGTCTTCTAGAATGTTATGCCATGTAGTTTGCAAGATCAGCACCAACAATGAAGAGGCACCTCCTGCCTCGCATCTTCAAGGTTGGACCATAACCTTAATATTCTCCACTGCAAGAGCTTCAAGTCTCATACTTAAGTATATTTTTAAACAAATCCTTTGTATTATCTGATAGGTGTAAATTTGTTGTACTCATAAAGCTTGAAGATAAGTACAGTATTGATTAATACAGTATATGCCATAACATTAAGATTCATTACCTTTTCCAGTGCCTTATTTAGAACAAAGTCAGAGTTGATCACAACACGTGGCAGGTAGACCTCCACAAAGGCATCAGGATACGCTTCATCTTCAGTTGTCATATGATGATATATCTTTTCCATTGACATTTTGCTCATGCGCTCCAATAGAGCATCTATAGTTGTACTGCCTATAGGAACCACTACAATCATGCTGAACTGCCCTCCCTGTAATGAATAAATCAGCCATTAGATATTGTAAAAATTAAATATCATTACCTAAACAATGAATGTTTACTTTCCATAATAACAAGAAAGACAAAAACATACTTCATATGGGAGTTCCACCACTTTTGCTCCAAGCTCAGAGATACGACTGTAACGGAAGTGACTATGCTGATACATCATCTCAACCTCTCCAAGTTCTATGCCTTTGTCATCATAAAATTTCTCTCTGATAGTATTACTAGAGTTGAATGGTAACAACCATTTCCCTTTGAAGAAGTTTCCATTAGCAATTACCAGATGAGGATCCTTCATGTCCTCTGCAAAAGAGAAGCCAATGAAATTCAGAGAAGTACTTAAAGTTGTATAATGTTAATTTATGTGAATGTGTTGTGATGGCCATTTCTTATTAAAAATAACTGAAATTTTAATATTTATCGTTCTGTTCACAGCAATTTGTATTTTAATTACAGCAGTATATCACAAATCATAATTTCCCATTTATATCTAGTATTATTCTGCCAACATGGTACGTCATTTTATGTATCTGCAGTTCTTAAGTTACTTATGTAGAGAAAAAATTGGTGATGAAGTGAGATGGTGAGTATGACCATTATCAATGCTAAGGTCATCATCACGGACTTCAACTCTTATTAATCTTATATCTCAAAGGAAAATAATAAAACTGATAATGTTATTATTTAATTAGTGTGTTACCTAAAGATGTATTATTTTGAAACAGGTTATTACAAATTCTTTGTGTTTACTGATGGAACAACCAATTTAGTTAACCTTCTATGAGTGTTAAAGAGTGCCCACAGTTTCCCACAAGGCTTTGGTCTTCCAAACCAACAACATTTCAGGGAAACAACACCCACAGTTGGTGACTTTTGTTGTACATAACCCAGTCTGGTTTGCCATACGCACTGTTATATTTATTTTACAAAAGTTCTTCAGCTAATTTAAAGTAATAAAGAACATGACTCCTAACTGAGCATTCACATTACTGAATATAGAAAACACATATGTCAATTTAGCAAATAAAATTTCTTAAAATGTTCAGAATGTCAAAATAACTTGTGTTATATATAGTTGTACATGCTGAGTAAAGAACATGACTCTAATGCTGAACAATTAAATTGGTTGAAATGTATCGTGCATAATAAACAACGATATAGTGAAAAAGGCTAAATAATATTATATAACTTGTTTGTGTAAAGTCAGTATTTATCATGAGTTAAAAATTCTGGGATATATCAACATGTAGTCTTCTGAAAGACAATTGATGTGGGCACATCATCACTTTCAGAGTTGAAAAGTAAGCCAAGCAAGAAACAAACATAAAATAGGCAGCATGCATAGCTATTCTTGTTGCTCAGTAAGATTTTCCTCTCAAACAACAGCTGACTTCTAACGAACTATAGAGTGTTATATCCCAGAAGATATATCTTCATAGCCACCGCTGCAAGAAACTCAAATCCTAATATTTATTGTTTTATCATGTTATTCCTGATGGAGACACTACATTGAGGTGAATATGTTACCATTCTGATGGGTTAATAAAAACCGTAAATAATCATCTCCATCAGGCTTGCAAAAAAAGAATTAAAATAAAGAACTGCAGCATAAAGGGGAAGGTTTATTCAGTTAAAAAGAAAACTGCTGAAAATTGCATTCTGATAATTTTACAGACCTTCGTGTACAAGCTGTGTGATCCGATTATGGGTGACATTTGCAACCCATTGGTTTATGAGGTCAGCAGTAGCAGATGGATTCATAAAATTAACAGGATGAACAGCAGACTTATAAATTCTCTCTGCCAGGTACTGAAAATCCAATTGTAAAGGCCGGTTTATATCAGTGAAGAGGACGTTAGCTCCGATCATTTCAACACCACTTCCAGAAACCTAGGGCCAATAAAACAAAAATCATGTACTCCAACACTGAAACAAATCCAATGAGCATGACTTGATTATTTTCTTAATTTCTTAACACTTCTATATATAAACTGCATATACCATGCTATTTACTAAGAGTACATTAGTTTTGCCCCATTTATTTCCTACACATATTTCTTTCTGAATTATACGAGAGTAAGTCAATAAGTAAGGTACAAATGGATATAGAACTCAAACAAATAACAGTACTGATTTGAAAAATGCTTTTATTTCTCAACATAATCTCCCTGTATATTGAGGCACTTGTCCCATTGTTTCACAAGCCCCTGAAAACCAGCAGCATAAAATTCTTTGGGATGCTGTTGGAACCAGGCGGTGACTTCCCTATCTACAGCTTCATCATCAGAAAAAGTTCAGCCGAAAGATGATGTTTAAGAGGGCCAAACAAATGGAAGTCGCTTGGAGCAAGACTCATCTGTGACAATTCTGGCTAGTATATTGTGTCCTTCATCGTGGTAGCTATTGAGATGCTGTAATGCCAGACCCATTCTCTGCATCTTGTGTTGTGGGGTCAGCATGCACACCCATCATGCACAGACTTTGTGAAAACCTAACCTGTCATGTGATACATCCCACATCCAGAGTCCATTCAAATGTCCAATAGATTATATTAAATATAAATCTTTAATTAAGCATGGTAGGGAAAGATTGACTAGGGAACCCAGAAAACATTGCTGTACAGGAAGCACAGTCACATTGCTCTTTGTTTACTTTTCAAAGAAGGAAATAGCTGCTCCCCTACTGTTTCTCTGCAGACCAATGACATGACAGTTTACTTCCGTTACTCTAAACTTGTCCTGGCAAGTTTTGTCTATCACATCACCATACGGTAGGAACAGAATTTCGGCATGGACAATCCTTCATTAGCAAGTAGTTTGCCACTTACAAACTTGATGCCCATGAACTCCGTGGCTTGAGTCTGCAAGCAAACTATACAAACCGAGCAAATGCTGCTTGTCGGTGAAGTTAGGCAGTATAGTGGTCAGAGTTCCTGGCTACAGATCCAGACGTCCCGGGTTCGATTCCAGCCGCTACCGGATTTTCTGAGATGTAGTGGGTCTGGAATGGGGTTCACTCAGCCTCATGAGGATAACTGAGGAGCTACTTGAATTGAAAAGTAGCAGCTCCGGTCTAGAAAACCGGAATTAATGGCCTTGGGGATTCATTGCACTGACCACGCGACACCTTCTATCTGCTAAAGGTGGCACTTGAGGTCCATACTACTGTAAAGTACAGTACAATGTACTTACATGTATAACACGGTTTAACTTGCGGTAAGCTGCACGAATGGCCCTGTTGCTCTCATGCAAATGAAGAGCCTTTTGAAGCTGAGAGCTTGTTTTACCACCAGAACCTTCTCTTACTAAGGCCAGCACTGTCCACACACTGAATGGTGAAATGGCTACATTCATGAACTTTCCTGCTTCCACAGAAGTAGCCTGCAAAAAGAAAAATGTTAGTAGAATCATATTATTTTCTCATGAAAAATCATGTCATGTAGACTCCTGCAGAGAACAGAGAATCCAGCATTCTGCTCTCCCAAAGTGTTCATTACATTTTGTGGCTAGTTAGATGTTGACAAGTTGCCACTGACAGGAAGCATGTATGAAATCAAGCACAAGTGGGAGCCATGAGCAGTATGTGAAGACACAAACCATGCTTGCTGGAGATATACAGCATTGCTTTTAAGTACATCCCAGTCAAAGACTAGCACTGACAGCACAAGTGAATTAAGTGGATGCCTTGGGTGGTATGATTTTAGGGGTGGCATATTTTACACTTCTTTGGCATTTTGTAAAATGAAAATTACTTTTTGCTGCTCTTTTGTTTCATATTGCAACAATCAATTTGTAGTCATATGAACATGTTGTGCAACAATGTAAAAAAAATGTTGTAAGAACTGTGATGGTCTTCATGACAATGTCTGGGAATTTTGTGTTAAAGTTCTGAGAAAGTTGAGCTGTTATTAACTGAGGGGGTAGGGAATTTCTTGTTGCCTGGGGTACCATTTGGGCTTAAGTGGGACCTGAGCTCAGTGATGCCAGAAGGGTATTTTTATTAAGCATTTCCTAAGCCCCCTCGTTGGTGGCTCCACCTTATCATGGTGAGGGGGTTTGAGTATGCCAAGGACCCTGAGAGCTATACCAGCGGTAGTGTAGCTACTGGCAGGGCCTCCCTTGCTGGACAGGTCAAAGGGTAGGCATCAGACGAAGAGAGACACCAAAAACTGATGCCGGAAGCAGCGTCATCAGCAG